ATTGATTTCCCAAGATAGCCAGAGGCCAGAACCTTGGAAGTAGTTTTGTTTCAGAAGTGGAGGGAGCGGTGAAAACAGTCCTGGAAAAGTAAGCCCTTTCCAGTGCAGTGTAGTTGGCAGGAGAGGGTGCCGTCCGGCAGTGGCTTCAGGTGTCCCAAGGAAAGCCAGTTGGGTTACTGCCAAAGAAAGAGGCAGAAGTGACTGTCCTAGGACGAGGGGATTTGAGAAAGTGAGATTCTGATAGGAAAATGTCAGTGACCTTAATGAGATACTAGCAGAAGAGAGACAGCGCAAGTGGGGGAGCCTCTTCAAGGAGGGCGGCCCTGGCCAGCCCTCGCGAGCATGAGAGCTGCCCGCTTGGGCTCTGGGCCAGGAGCCAGGTGGGGGCAGCACTGCTGACCAGGAGACCCCATGCCTGGGGCTGGGCCCTACAGCAGCCTACCACTCACAGAAGCCAGGGGACCCCAGACGCTTGAGACGACTCCGTGCCCACATTGCGCTGAGCCGGACCCACAAGACCCTGCTTGGCCTCCAGCCACAGGGTCTCTGGTTCCAGACTGGCTGCGTCTAGGGGGAGGCCCAAAAATTCAGGTGTACTCCTCCTGCTTCCAAAAGTGAGTGTCGGCTTCGTCCTGAGAACCAGTCTGTGCTCTGATTCTGGCCCCTGGCTCCCTGCTCCACCCCGGCTGGGACACTGTCTTGGCTGTCTGTTCTGCGCCCTCTTGTGGTCTCCTTGAGGTGCTGCGCCCCTGATGACTCGCCTGCCCACCCAGCCTGTAGTTGCGTCTGCGCTTACATTTCCACTTTCTTGATTCCATCTGGGCGTTGGCTACCCCATACCTCTTTGTCAAGCCTCCCTACTGCCACATGGCTTGCCTAAGCCACCTCTTGGTAACCGTTTGGGGTCTGCATAATGGACTTCTGAAGCTCCTGATGCTGGCTGTCACTGCAGATCGCCCTGCTGTCCTGTGCGTGGCCACATCCCACGCCATCGTATGCCTTGATCCAGCAGGACAGTACTTCCTGTGGTGACGAAGCTGACTGCGTGGCATCTTGGGGCAATGAGAGGGTGATCCAGGGATGAGATGGTGATGAGATACTGGCTTGTGAAGCTCCGAGGTTAAAAAACAACCTGTAGAAACTCAGAAGAGCATGAATCAGAGCCGTAGCTATAGGTGCGCTTTGCTGACTAGGCTCAGTGATGAGTGCTTTTGGCGCAGGCTGGAGGGAACTGGCACGGTCGCTGTCTGGGTGCAGAAGTTGAGGGGACCTGGTGTTCTCTGGGTGGCAGAGCCGGTGCTTCTGTGTTTGTTGCCAATGTCTATGCAGTCGGAGCTGGCATAGAAAAAGAGATAAGCCCTCCTGGCCTGCCCTGGTTGGGCCTTTTGTCACTCAGGAAAAGTGACAGATGGGGAGTATGGGTTTTGATTTCTACCATGTCTGCAAATATGTCTCCCGACGAACTGTGGGATTGCTGTGGGTTATCCTGGGTGCCACGTTCCTGGGGTGACAGCAGAGGGTAGCAGGGTTGGGACTTGCAAGAGAAGGATTTCTAGGCATGGAGCACACAGCTCTGCCGGAAGCGCTTGCCTTGGAGGCATGAAGTCCCTGTCCGTGTCGCTTTCTGGGAGCCCTCAGTGGCTGCAGTGGGGTGTGCTGGAAGGGATTTCATGGTGAGCACCGCAGTTCTGAGATGAAGGTGTGAACGGTGCAGCTTGGGATAAAGCGCGTGGTGTGGAGACCTGAGGCCGCAAGGCTTCTCCTACAGAGTCCTGTGCTGCTTGCGTGTGCATGGCTGTTTTTTAGGGAAATAACCTTTAAAATGGGTTCTTTGTGAGAACGAGTGAGGTGTGCTGTGTTCTGCAGGGCCTCCCCAGAGAGTCCAGTGCTGGGGTGTCTCGGGCTCCTGCTGTGCACCAAGTCAGCCTGGTTTATCGCTCCCCTTCTAGCACTGAGTGTCTGCCAGGCTGAGTGTCTGGAATTTTCACAACATGGATGTCCTTCAGCATGGTAAAATAATATATATTTCTTAAAATGTAAGCCTATTGAACTGTGAAAAGAGAGGGCTGCATTTATCTAGTAATTTGATTTCCAGAGTCAGAGACATAATGTGTGGTGCTCTCTGTTGAACCTCAGGGCCACAGTGCACATTCCTGTTCCCTCTCCACGTCTTGAGTCAGCTTTGCCCGTGCTGCTGTAGCCCAGCTGTAGCCATGGCGTTGGGGCTCAACTCTCTTCCTCCCAGCAGGGGGCACTATGGGCTTCTTCAGTGTTTCCTGTGTTCTAAGAAAACTGAATCAGGCCTTTTGTACTCAGACTTGCGTCCCTTGCGTCACTTAGTGAGCAAAGGGTGTTGCTTCAGAAAGAGTTATGGGGCGGGTCAGCTTCGGCTAAGCACTGAGGGTGGCCTGCTGAGCTGGGCCTTGGGCTCTGTGGGCTCGAGCCTCAGTCATTTCCTTATGTAACACCTCACAGGAGCAGACGCGATTGCCACGGGCCACTATGCGAGGACCTCACTGGAAGATGAAGAAGTCTTTCAGCAGAAGCACATAAAGAGGCCGGAAGGGCTTTTCAGAAATCGATTCGAAGTTAGAAATTGTAAGTTCCAGTGCCCAGGTCAGAATTTGTTGTGTGCGAAGTAAAATAAGTTGCGATGCAGGAGCTGCGTCTAAGCACATGGCCATGCCCCCGTGTGCTCCTGCGGCTGTCTGCTTGGGACTCACATTTGAAAGGTGCCCAAGGCCTGGATTGGGCAACAAGAGGCCCTGGGCAGGGGCCGGGAGAAGGAAAATGTTTCCGTCTAGCTTTAGATACTGCCTGTTGGGTACTCTAAAAATACTCAGGGAAATGCCTGACAGTGGTATCTGGGTGTGCTGGGCTTAGCCAGGGCCTTTTGCTGTCAACCAAGTTGTCAGGCCAGGGGGTGGGTGTGAACAGTACGGGACCTGGCGGGCAGCTGTGTGTGCAGAGCGTGCCTGCAGACTTGCTGCCAAGGGCCAGAAGGCAAGGCTGGGACACCGCTGTGCCCTGGCATACATTTGTATGTAGAAAAGAGGAATATGTGTGGCTGCCGGGTGAAGAAGCAGGGCTCGGCCACTGTCTGCTAGGACTTGCCGTGCCTGTGGGTGGCAAAGGGAGGGTGGCCCTCTGTGTGCTCACTGGAGCCCTGAATTGAGTTTGGAATGCAGGTGGCGAATGGGTCCTGGGGACCATGGCTTCCCGCACACACCTTTTTAAAAAATATATATTTAGTACAGGGTCTACAGGGTCTCACTACACAGATCGGACTTCAGTGGCCCTCCTGTTTTTCAACCTCCCAAGCGCTGGGATTATAGGCATGCACCACCATGCCCAGTCTCAGTCACCGTCTCAGCACGCACTGGGGGCTGGGCCTGCACAGCAGGCTGGGGATTGAACCCCGGTCCCACCATCTGCCTAAGCAGGTGCTTTAATCCGCTGAGCTGTCCCACCGGCCCTCCACACACACCTGCTCTGTGCCGCTATCCCCATTTCCCCGAGGAAGAGACTGAGGCTGGGGTGGCCTCGCTGACCTAGCTACCCCAGCGGCTGAGCCAGGCTCGCCCAGTGTCACCACCCACCCACTGCACTGTTCTGAAGGCGGTAGCAGTGTGCCCTGTTGTCGCCCTGAGTGCTCGTGCCTCCATCTGCTCAGCCTGGATAAGGGAGCCATACCTTGTTGGGCAGGGAGGGAGGAGCCCTCTGCTGCTGCCTATGTGGTGCAGCCACTTCCCTTGCCCTGCCGCCCAGAGCCCTCGTGTGCCCCTCTGCCCACACTCCTGGGCACTCTCACCCCAGAGACTCCCATCCTGGAGGACCTGGAGCCCACAAGAGAATGCCCTGCCCCAGTAGGTGGCCACCACCACAGGCCCCCTGCATGCACCTTGCTGCGGGCTGCACTGTGTGAGCCCGTTGATTGTGTGCCATGCTCTGTGTGCCCCGTAGCACTAGGCACAGAAGGGGCACAGGACCTCTGGTCTGGGCTGGGTCTCTGCTGAGCACGGGAGACCCAGTGCTTCCCACCTAGAGGCTGGGCTGATCTCTCCAGAGCCAGGTCCCTTGTACCTCTCACGACCTTCACAGTGTGTTCCCTGGGGTAGGGGCCACGTCCCCGAGACAGCCAGCAGAGCGTGGCCTCTGCCCGCACCCTGTGGCACTGAGCCCTGTGGCGTGGGCGCACCGTGCACAACTGACTGACTCTGGTTCCCTGCAAGTGTCCTGCACGCTGTCTCGTCCAGTTTCCAGAAGTTGGCTGAATCCATTTTGGCCTTTTTTCCTTCTCACATTTTTTCACATTGACGTTTCATCTGAAAGTTTTACAAACTGTGATCTAAGTTGTGCGCTGGAATGCATTTCAGAGTCCACGTTCCCTGTGTGTTTTGGGGTAAACGTGGGTGAACACTTTCCTCACCCCAGCACTGCCAGTGCTCTCCCAGCACACTGTTATTTAGAGTCCGCTTTTACTTCTGACAGAGCGGGGGTCACTAAGTAAACACAAGGACGTTATTAAAGGCAGTTTCTTTATGTTCATTCTGCAACATCTCTTGTTCTTTACTCTTGGCAGCGGTAAAACTTCTCCAAGCAGCTGACAGCTTTAAAGACCAGACCTTCTTTCTCAGCCAGGTTTCCCAGGAGGCCCTGAGAAGAACCATCTTCCCTCTTGGGGGATTAACGAAAGATTTTGTAAAGAAAATAGCTGCTGAGAATGGACTCCAGCATGTGCTTGAGAGGAAAGAGGTAGGCGAGCAGGTCTCCTGGGATTCCACTGTGGCCGGGTGCTGGGGAGCTGCACATGAGGCCTGGAGGAGGGCGGGGTGGTGCAGGCCCTGGTACTTGGGGAGCTGACGCATGGCTCCCCCTCGCCCTCCCTCAGGGGCAGACAGCTTGAGGGGTCCCCAGCCATCCTTTCACCTCCTGCCAACCTCCTCTCGTTTCAGAGCATGGGCATCTGTTTCATTGGTAAAAGGAATTTTGAGCATTTCATCCTTCAGGTGAGTGTCCTGACATTGGGGTGATCGTCCTGCACCCCTGCAGCTCCGTTGTAAAGAACTGTTTGTCTCCTAGTACTTGCAGCCTCAGCCTGGGAAGTTTATTTCCATTGAGGACAATGCAGTTCTGGGAACACACAAGGGTGAGTTGCAGCCTCGGCTACTTTCCCTGAGCTCCTTGGGTTGTGGGTGTGTATTAGCCTTGGGGCTGCATGGGTCCCGGTCCCGGTCCCTTCTGCTCTGGTGCAGAGGCCCGGGAGGCCTGTGGGGCAGGCTGGATGGGTACTTGGAGCCCAGAGCATCCAAGGTGGCCAGAGATGCAGGAGACGCCCCCATTGGGAGGCGCTGACTGGCCTCACGGCTGGCACCAAGGACCATGTGAGCAGATGGGCACAGGTGTTCCTCAGTGCCATGGCGGCGTGCTGCGTATGCATTCACTGGCACTGCCTGGTGGGCACAGGGCTCAGCCCTGGTACAGGGACAGGCAGTGTGGGCTGCTGGGGCAGCTTGGCCTGCACAGGCCCACCGGGGGCCCGGCTGGGTCAGAGGGGTCTTGCAGGGAATTGTGCTGTGGAGCTAGCTCAGCCTTCGGGAGCCAGCTCAGGGGCAGCTGAACAGGCCCTGGGCTCCTGAGAGCTCCAGGTTCCAGAGGTGACTGTGCTGGGACTTGTGGCCAGCGCCTAGAGTGCAGTGAATGCCATCGGGTTGTCTGTGCCCGTGCAGCAGGGATGGGCAGGGCAGCGAGCAGGGGCCTGCCCTGTGTAGGGTGGGGACGTGCAGGCAGTGTACCCGCCGGGCGGGCACCAGGACTAAGCATCGAGGGACAGTGGTCCAGCCGCCCTCTGCCCACACTCCCTGCAGCCGCCCTGCCCAGGGGCTAGGTTTGGACTTGGCCGCTTCTTTGTGTACTGCCCAGGCCTGGACAGGGTGGCATGTGTGACGGTGCAGTTGGGGCCAGCTCTGCAGTCTGCAGCAGCCCTCGGGACTGTGGAAACCCGCTCCCACTAGATGTCCATGGCCACGTCCTTTCTGCCTTGAGAGCCTCAGTCTTTCACGTGGAACTCGTTGCCTAGGCTCACGGAGAACCTTCTGTAGGTTGGTTCCTGTATACCTTGGGCCAGAGGGCAAAGATCAGCGGCCTGAGGGAGCCCTGGTATGTGGTGGACAAGGACGGCACCAGAGGAGACGTGCTCGTGGTGAGTGGTGGTCCCGGCCCAGCCTCCGCAGCCCCCAGTACCAGCCCCAGGCCGCAGACGGGCCTGTGTCAGGTGGCTCTTAGGCTGCTGCCGGGCTGCTCACTCTGACCCTCACATAAATGCCTGTAGATACTGCTTTTCTGAGTTTATAAGAGAGGATGAGACTCGAGTGAGCGGCGAAGATCACAGGGAAGCCGGAGGTCCCAGTGCTAGGTCGTGCTGCTGCTGAGAGCAGCACCGTGGCAGCTCTTGTGCACACAGGCAGGTGGCGAGGCCGGGTGGGCAGGCGGCAGCTGCAGAGCCCTGAGCCATCGTGATGCTGGCATGCCGCCTGGGCTGCTGTGTGGAGGGTCCTGTGGGGGTGAGCAAGCCCCCGTGAGGACGTCGGCAGCTTCTGCAGACAGCTTGAGCTTAGAGGGGCTGGGGGAGCAGGCGCAGCTGAAGGGCCTGTGCCCTCTTTCCCCGGGCAGATGTGTGGCGCCCCATTCTTGCGAGGCCTAGGCTTGAGAAACCCACTCGGAGCAGGCTGAGCTGTCACTGCGTGCTGTCACTGTTAGACCAGGGCGCCTTCTGAGAGGAGTGATCTGCACATGGGACAGTGACTGCAGTATGACCTTCCGGGGGTGTGCCTCCTGCGAGGAACCAGGGGCTCGTCCCTGATGGCCCCCGGGCAGTCCCAGGGCCAGCCCAGAGCCTAAAGCTCTGGGCAGAAGCTTATGGCCATGCCTGGCCCTTTCCTAGGAAGAGCCCCTGGTTCTGAGTACAGAGTCCAGGGCACAGGCACTGGGGGGCAGAGGCCTGGGTGAGGGCTCTTGGTGCTCTGGCATCCCCGGCCCACCCGAGACGCTGGCCCCAGAGAACGGGGACCAAGGGTGGAGGGGCAGTGAGAGCTGGGGGCCCTCTATACACAGGGCTGCGGTGGGGCCCTGCCCACCTGTCAGTTCCCACACAGAGAACAGTTTGGTGGTCAGGTGGAGTTCGCCATTAGGATCATTATCACTCATGACGTGTGCAAGGGGGCTTTGGGGAGGGAGACCTAGACCTGATGACCCATCACGGTCCGCCACTCTGTCCTCAGGCCCCCCGGACTGACCACCCAGCCCTGTACAGGGACCTGCTGCGCACTGACCGCGTGCACTGGATTGCAGAGGGGCCACCAGCCACCCTGGTCCGGGACAAGATGATGGAGTGCCACTTCCGCTTCCGCCACCAGATGGTGCTAGGTAACCGGAGGGAGGTGTAGAGCTGTGGGGACAGGTGAGACCCTGCAGGCAGAAGGTTGTGGCGCAGACATACTGTAACTTGCAAAATTCACCTGTCCTGTGCCAGCCACTGGGGGGCTGGGTCACCGCTGTGGCTCAGGAGGAGGGTCCAGCATGGGGCAGTCGGTGCTGCCCGGTGTCCTGCTGGCAGACCCCTCAGGCTGCTGCCTTGCCCTTCCCTGGCGAGGTGAGGCCACACATGCTTCAAGGCCTCTCTCCACCCAGTGCCCTGTGTGCTGACCCTCAATCAAGATGGCACCGTGTGGGTGACGGCAGTGAAGGCCGTGCGGGGCCTTGCGCTGGGGCAGGTGAGTGGGCTGGGGCAGGGTCAGCCACAAGAAGTGCACGCCAAGTCTGTGCCTTCCTAGCCCTGGGTTCCTGGCCAGTCAACAGTGCCAGGCCCCATGCTCGGGGCCACCCCCAGCTCACAGCAAGGCCCCTTTCCTTCCAGTTCGCCGTGTTCTACAAGGGGGACGAATGCCTGGGCAGTGGGAAAATCCTGCGCTTGGGGCCGTCGGCCTACACACTCCAGAAGGGCAGGAGCAGGGCCGTGGTGGCTCCCAAGGGCACCGGGGACAGTGCAGGGGACAGCCCAGGCCTGTGTCCCACACCCTGATGGACCCAGCTGCCAGGAGAGGCCTGCAGAATCAGCCCAGGACAGGGCAGCCCATGGTGCTGGGCTTGGTGCTGCCTGAGCCAGGGAGCCGGAGGCCCTCGTGTCACCCCCTACTCCACGTTGTGTGGCCCTATCCCCAGGCCTGCTTCTGGAGTCCCTCTCCCCTACCCTTCTGAGCATACTGCAGGACACATGGTGGTTGTATGGGCCACAGGACAGCACTGAATAAAACTCATTTGTCTGGCGGAAGGGTCTGACTGCTGTGTCTGGGGCAGGCCGGCTGTCCGCTTCAGGCTCGGCTCATAGCTGATGCTCCACGGCGAGCACACCCCATGCTTTTCCTCATGGTTGTACGCCCTTCCAGGGCGGCTCCATTTGGACAGAAGTGTGGCTGGAATTCTTGGAGAAGCCCTGATCCAGACAGAGGCACTGCGAGCGTAGGCTTGCGGGCCCCTCCTGTCTCGGCAGCTGGCCACGTGCTTGTGTGGCACAGAGCTGTGACCTTGGACGCTTGTGTCTGGGTTCCACTTCAGTTTTCTTTCCTACGTACTGCTTCCCTGCCGCCGTGGACTGAGCAGCCGTGTTCTTTCACACCGCTCACCAGGATGCTGTGCCTTGGAGTGAACCCCTGGAATCGTAAGCCATATCAAACCTCCAAGTTACGGGTGTCAGGTAGTCTGTCCCAGCAAGAAAACTGACCGAGACAGGAGCCAAGGCGAAGGAGCCCAGAAGCGAGGGTGACCTGGGGAGGGAAGGCTGGTGAAGTGGCCGAGGCCTTGGCTGTGCAGCTGTCCCTGGAACTCGCCGCTCCAGGGCCACAGTCAGGGACAGAAGCTGATCGAGTCATATGCCACCAGAATGCTGCTGAGGTGAGTGCTGCACCTGGCCGGGCCCGCTTGCATACAGAAACGCCAGCAAACACCCAAAGATGCTGGGCAGATTGGGCAAGCAAAATGGCCCAGATGCTCCGATAACCAAGGATAGAGCAGCCTCTACTCCATGCCTGGACACACAACTCTCAAAACAGTGACATCTGCAAGGCCCACCTGGAAAATCAGAATATAAGGAGCCACTCAAGTTCTAAAACTGCAAATGACAGTAAGCAGAACAAAATAACCGCATAGGCTTAAGAGAATGGAGATGACAGAGAAGGCATAAGCGACTGTGAACACTGATCACCAGACAGTCACATCTGAGCGGACGGGAGGGGTGAGCAGAGCTGGCCTGGCTGGCTGGCGTCTGGGGAGACGTGACAGGCACCGTTCCTGCACCGCAGGAAGCCCCATTTGGTCTGCTTGCCCCAGCAAGGGCCATGCAGCTGGGGACAGTGCCACTTCCCCCACCCCCAGGGAGCGGGAATGGGTGGACACAGTGAGCCAAGTGTACAAATGCGAAAATCTTAATTTATTGTAGCCCTCCCGTCTGTCGCCATTCCAGTGTTCACATAATAAATACACATTTGTTAAAAACCTCCAGTGTTTCATCTCCCCCAGTCTTAAGTCATAAAAATAGGTGTACATTTTTCTGTCTTAAAACTAATGATTTTTGTTTCTTGGGGGTTTTTTTGGTAACAGTTTTGATCCCATTTAAAAAGCTGAACCCCCAGGGCTAAAACCTGGCTGAAGGTGGGTGACAGGACGCAGGTGCTGAGATCTGCGAGCAGGTGGCCCGCGCAGCACACCCACCCAAGGTGCTTGCTCGTCGCTGTGCGTGCGTGCAGAGTCCCCAGCCCTGGGCTGCCCGGCCGCCGGGCCCAGGCCCACGCCCCACGCCCCACTGCATCTCATGAGCAGCGCCTGCCTTCCTCAGCCGAAGTGTGCAGCACAGGGGCGCGCACATCTCCCACTTGGGAGCGGCTGTCAGATCCCGTAGTTGGGCACCCGGTGAAAGGACAAAGGCAATGCTGGAATCCGACGTGCCTGGCTCACTCCGCTGCCCAGCGCCTCAGGCCACGCTGTGCCGAGGCTGCAGCCCCAGACGTCTCCACATGAGCTTCCAAAAATGGCTCCATAAGCATTGAGTAGTGTGGCTGTGGCTTTGTCCCTTTGCACAATTGGGCATTTGAAGCAAAATGATGTCATTGGTAGACTTTGGGGGTGGGGACCCCAGCCTACTTGGAGAGGCCTGGAGTCTAAAGGATCTAGAAAATTGGCAGGAAGGAATGTGACATCCTGGAAGACCTCACGGCTCCGTCTGGATCAGGATCGTGTGAACACTAAGGCCCCCTGCAAGCAGAAGGGAACAAAGGAACACCTACCTGCGGTGCTGAGCTACCAGGCAGGGCTCCAGCAGGGCCCAGTGGGCCTGGCGTGCACCCAGCACCAGGGTGGGTGGGGGTGGCACGGCCATCAGCAGGGACCTGCTGACCTGCCTGGACCCTGGGGCACATGGGTGCCAAGGGCACACGTGCTCAGAGCATGCGGGCCCTGGGCTGGGGCGGCAGGGTCGTCCACGCTTCCCTGCACACGGCTGAGAGCCACAGGGGTTCTCGGCTTTGGCCTCACTGCCCAAGTCCTCCCCATCTCTGCCCTGCCGGGCACAGGCTGCGTCAGCACACCGAGGCTCAAGTACAGCTGTGCAACCAATCTTCCATACACGGACAAGAAGTAGCGGGAGAACACTCCCAGACCTACCAGGGCCAGGCCAGTGCCAACTCAGGCTGTGCACAGGCTCCGTCTGCGAGCCCAGGAGCGCACACTTCCGGCACAGGAGCGTGGGTGGGACAAGGCCACCTGCTTTTACAGGAACGGCTTGGGCAGTGGCCAGGTCCCGGCCTGTGGCAGCGCCTCTGAGCCGTGTGAGTGGAGCTGCGTGGTGGCCCTGCAGGCTGGGCCAGCCCTTGCACTGGGCCCTTGCGCTTAGGCCACAGGTGTGGCTTTGCTTCTGTCCAGTCAGCAGCGAGCTGTGCCAGCCCTGGGTCTGTCTCCATCGAGGCTGCCTGTGGCTTTGGCACTCGTCCCAGAGCCAACTAGCCTGGGCCCCTGATGGCCAGGAGCTGTGTGCACGATCTGCAGTGCAGCTGCCACTGGGCCCTGCTTCACTCCGCAGGCAGCGGCCCTCGGGCTCCACGGTCCCAGGCCCGGCCCAGTGGTCTGTGTGGGTGACAGCTGGCCTCATGGCTTCCTGATGGTTCAAATTGAAGTTTCGTTACTGCCTCTGCGTGTAGGAAGAAGCCGCCAGGCAGGGAGGATCAGTGAGGGCACAGTGGGGACCCTAGCGGGGCAGAGCTGCCCCTGGGGAGGGGTCACCTGGGGCCCCACACCCACGGCCCTGGCGTCCAGGCTACTTACTCGGAGTCAGAGCCATCGGCCTGGGCACTGCCCACGCACACGCTCATGGCCACCCCATTGAGGTGCTCGCGGCCTGGCTCCCTGCGGGGTGTCTTGATGGTGATGACACAGTCGGGGGCGCGGACACTGTCACCAGAGCCCAGGGAGGAGGTGCGCGAGGATGCAGGGCTCTGCTCGCAGTCCGCCAGCTTTTCCCGTAGCCGGCACTTGAGCGGCTGCTCGGGCAGCGGCGGCGGGTAGCTGACCTTGTTTTTCAAGATGCCTGGAGGAGGGAGGAGGCCCAGGCGCGTGAGGCAGGTAACAGGCCGTCGGTCACCTCTGACCTGCCGGGCCCCGCTGCCCCACCCTCGGGCCCTGGGGCTCCCCAGGCACCTTTCCTCTGCTCTGGCAGCTGGGCACCAGGCACTGCCGCAGGCTTGCTGGGGTCTGCGGGGCCATCACCACAGTGGTTGCCCTGCTGTTGCCGGTGCAGCTCCACGCTGACCTTGGTCTCCACCCGCAGTGGGGGTTCTGGGCCGGGGTCCTCGCTGTCGCTCCCTGCCAGGCTCTCATCAGGCCAGCTGGCCAGGATGTGGTTGCCCAGGGTGTCAGCTAAGAGGAGAAAGCAACACTCAGCCTGGCCCGCTGGCGGCTGCACCCCAAGCCATGCTGGGTCTGGTACCCTCAAGAGTGGGCCTGATGGTAGGGAACTGAGACCCAGAGCTGAGAGCCACCACCCTCTCAGGGCACCGGAAGCTGCGCCTGGCCCTCATGGCGCCCAGCACAGAAGTCCCCAGGCAGGCAGGCTGCGCCTGGCCCTCACAGCACCCAGCGCAGAGGTCCCCAGGCAGGCCGCGCCTGGCCCTCACAGCACCCAGCGCAGAGGTCCCCAGGCAGGCCATGCTTGGCCTGGTGGCCAGAGCTCCTCAGCCTTCTTTTGGCTGCAGCTCTCTGGGGTAGAACTAGAGGGCCGGTCCTGGCCTGTGGTCCGCAGCCCAGCCTGGCCTGCTCGCTGCTCACCTTTGGGGGTGCTGTGCGCAGGGGCGCGGGCTGGATTCCACCTGTCCTCAGTGTCCCTGCCATCTTCCTCACTGTCGGATGAGTGTGAGGACGCATAGGAGCTGCTGTGCTCGTCCAGTGACATCTCGCTGTCTGAGTCTGAATCGGGGCCTGCGGGGGTGGGGTAGGAGCTCAGGCCCAGGCCCAGTGTGGCCAGGCCCAGAGGCCTCCTTAGGTATACGTGTCCTCGTGTGGCCAGGGGTATGTGGGCAGCCAGGAGTGTGCCCAGGAACACATACCGTGGGTTTTCTTGGAGTTCCTGGGGACACATGATGAATCCAGCTCCCCATGGCCACCACGTGCCGGCCCCGAGGACACACTGAGCTTCTGTACCCCTTCATCCCTGGGGAGGAGGGGGTGGGCTCAGGACCTCTGCTCAGAGGGACAGACACTATGTGGTGAGCACATGGCTCTGGGAGGTGCCCTAAAGCACCCTGTTTTGATCGACAGCAGGGGCACACAGAGGGCCGCTACCGGAGGCTGGCCCCGCCCTGCCCCACCCCACCCCACTGCAGGAGGGCGCTGACCTGGCGGTGCTATCCAGTGAGGCGGTGGACTCGCCCAGGGCCGTGCGCAGCATGTCAGGCCCCTCGCTGCACGTGTTGTTACAGTTGAGGGAGCGCTGGGGGAAGGGCAGCTGGTCAGACCGCACTCTCCCCTAGCTCACCTAGACTTGTACCGGGCCGGGCGCTTGCCTGGCACACATGGGTCCCACATAGAGCCTGCAGGAGCCTGGGAAGGCAGGGGGAGCACTGCCACCCACGTGGGGTCAGGGGCTATGTGCTCTTGGCCACTGCTTCTGGGTCAAGGGTCCAGGCTGCCCTGGCCATTGTTTGTCTCGAGAGCTCATTTTCCTGGTGGTGTCAGCTCTGGGACACAAAGCCATAGCTGTCCCTTGAGGGGAGCCACCCAGTTCCCAGGCCCCAGGGTGCCTCCTACCGTCAGCAGGGTGGCCCTCGTAGTGGCCGACTCATCCAGGTGCGGCTTCTTCCCAGCAAGCAAAGCCCGCAGGTGCTTCCGGACCTCCCTGTTGAGCACGCAGTGGGACAGCAGGACAAAGAGGCCCTGCGGGGACAGCGGTCAGCAGTGGGCACAGAGAGCCCGAGACTCAGACAGCCAGCATTCAGGGCCCCTCCACATCTCCCCTGTAACCTCACTAGGCAGCGTTTGGTGTGGCCCTAAGGGGCCACCCTCTTCCTGGGGTGGGGACTGAGCAGGAGGCTCCTCCCTCACCCCTGTACACGTGCTGTCGGGGGTTGGCGACCCCCAGGTGACAGGGATACCTACCTGCACACAGCTGAAGGCAGCGAAGAGGTAGTGAAAGCTGAGTGCGTCGCTGTTGACAGCCAGCAGCCCCAGCAGCCAGGTGGCGCTGACGAGCAGCAGCAGCAGGAAGGCTGTCCTCAGCAGGGTGCTGTGGAAGGGCAGGCAGGTCAGTGGGCGTCCCCTGCCCGACCCTCTGGGCCCTCCCCTTCTCCCTGGCCCTCCAGGGCGAGGCAGGCAGTGTGTGCTAGTGGGAACAGGTGCCTCACCTCAAGGTGTCCAGGTCCTAAGGCCTGGTGCATGCAGAAGCCAGGGGAGAGGGCTGCATGCATGCATGCGTGTGCATGCATATGCGCATCTGCACGCGACTCCTAGCCTACCCGTCATGCTCTGTGTGACCCAGGCAAGTGACTCCCTCCCACTGTCCCCATTAGTACAGGTGGATGACGGGGCATGTCATCTGTGGGCTGTGGAGAGACTGGCTGTCCACGCAGCAGGGACCAGAAAGGAAGGACAAGCCCACAGAAGCCAGCCTGCTTTGCCCACTTTCTCCTCTTAGCTCTGGCTGTGACCCCTCCCCCACACAGCTGGCCTCGGCCCCACTGAAGCAGCACAGGACTCCACAGCCACGTGACGGCTCCCCGTCACTCTCATCAGGGGTCTAGGACACCACACACAGAGTCCTCCTCCTACCATAACTCCTCCCCGAGCCCCCATATCTGGGTGGTTCCCTCTGCTGGGTCCCTGTCTCTGGCCTGTGTCCAGGCAACCAGGCTTGCTCCTCCGCCCTCACCCCCCACCTCAGGCCCAGCCACACCAGGTCATGGCCCAACCTGGCTGGTCTGCATGCAAGCCATGGCTGAGCCTGCTCAGGGCCCTCACTCCTCCTGCATCCCCGAGTCCCAGGTGTCCCAGGCCCGAGACCTGAAGGCCTGCAGAGCCCAGACGCACCCACAGCACCTCCCAGGCAATCGCTAAAGGCCCTGACCCAGGGCACCGGCTTTTCACAGGGCTCAGCCCAGCTCAAAAAGCGGACCTTTGGGGTCTCAGGCCCAGGGACCGAGGCCCACCCAGTGGTCAGGTCTGCTCCTAACTCACCGGACCCCCTTTCTCTCATAGTAGTGGTGCTTTCTTTGGCAGGAAACCTTCACAGACAGGACAAAGATGACCGTGTTGATCTGAAAGAATCAGATGTGGCCCTTTCAGCCTCACCAGACCAAACCTCCAAATGCTTCTGGGATCCTCATCCTGCTTCTCAGGGAGCCAGGACCTCCTGCACCAGGCTACTGCCAGCACCCCAATGTGTCCATGTAGGGACCGCCTGCATGCAGTGTGGGGACATAGAATGTGACCCCCCAGACCCACGGATCTGAGAATGTCCCCAAGGCGGCCCTGGCGTCATCACTGCAAGATGAGTCTGGCCCTTCCAGCTGATGCACCCAGTGCCCAAGAACAGTGCCCCGTGGAGGCCCCTGCACTCACGAGGATGACGGCTCCGATGGGCCCAGCGAAGCTCCAGATGAGTGAGTCGTGGAGTGACAGCCAGCAGAAGTCAGGGTTCCCGTAGCCCTGGGGGTCCAGACCAACCGCTAGCCCTGGGCGCAGGGGGCAGAGAAGAGTGTGGGCCACACCCCCAATGGCCACCACCACCTGAGGGCTGAGCAGGGCAGGCCACATCCAATTCCCTTCATTGTTCTCCCAGGAAAAAGAGCAAAGAGCCCCCTGACACCTGCCAGGATGGGCTGGGCGGGCCAAGTCCCGGGCCAGCTATGCCCCACAGCTGCTTGGGAGCCGCCCTGGACCCACCATCCTAGGGGCAGAGCCAGGAGGAAAGCAATGGGGGCAGTTAGCACCCAGGGGGCCCTGCCAGGGCTGCTCAGACCCCCGCAAGGCAGTAGGGAGGGAGGAGTAGCTCAGCTGAGGGACAGTGCCATCTCTGGGGCCAGCTGTGTGACACAGGCCACATGGGCATTCTCTGGTGCTGCGCCTGAGGCTGGGCACACATGGGGTCCCATCACCAGGGCATGGCATCTCTCCTCCTAACCACTGGTGACACGCCATGCACGCCCAGGGCTCCCTCCTATGGCCCCCGACACGCCATGCACGCCCAGGGCTCCCTCCTATGGCCCCCGACACGCTGTGCATGCCCAGGGCTCCCTCCTATGGCCCCCAATTCCCCCTTGACGCATCCACAGCCCTGTTTTCCCTGCTTAAGAGGAGGACTTGTTCCGTGACCTTTCTAGCCTGCACACACTGAGCCGCTTCTGTGGCCTCGGGGGACTGTGTGGTGTGGCCCTGGGGGAACGCAGCCTGAGGAGTGCCCTGGCACCTTGTTCTGGCCTCAGGTCTCGTGCCATCTGTGCCATCTCCCTGCACTCCTGCCCACCAGGTCTAGCACTAAGAGCCCCTTTTCCCAGAAGCCCACGCCTGCCCCTGGTAAGAGCACATTGTCCCCCATACTCTGCAGCGCCTTCGGGAACTGGTGCCAGAGGGGCCCACTCAGCACCCCCTGCCCTGGAGAGGCGGCTCCCCAGGACAAGAGCTTGCTTCCTCCCTGGCTGCTGAGCCCAGGCCTGTAATGGAGTTGGGCAGAGAGGGCACACCACCTTCAGGGGACAGACAAGTGGGGCAATGAAGGGGTGCACCCCCTTGTGCTGGGGGACCTGGGCAACAAAGACTATAGGACTCCAGTCTACTGCATGATTCACCTACCCATCTACCACCCACCGGTCCATCCATGCACACACCCCCCCCACCAGCCACCCATCCTGTCATCAACCCACTGGCAGCCATGGAGTTTTGTCATGTGCTGCAGATGGAGAACATCTTGGGGCCTCCTCTCCAGAGCTCACACCTGACCACAGCCACGTCTCCCACGTGGGCACAAGGCAGCCTCACTTGTGTCCACAGTATGCAGGGTCAGAGAGGAGGCAAGCAGGTGACTCTCCCCGCATGTGGAAGCTGGGGTTCCTGGACCAGCAATGATGTGTGGAGCCCCACTGAGCAGGGGTCTGTAGGAAAACTATTTTCACAACCACCACAGCAGGGGTGCTCTGAGGGTCCTCACCTGTGACAATGGCTGGGATGCCCCAGCCCACAACGTAGTAGAACCGCATGGGCCCAGCGTCGATGTTGCGCACCTCGGTCAGCATGCGGTAGACGTGGAGGCTCTCCACCAGAGTCCAGGCGAAGGTGCTCATCCAGGTGTAGTGCAGCAGGATGGCGACCACTGTGCAGAGGAACTGCGCAGGGGAGGCCATGGTCACAGGCGCAAGGGGACAGGGAGCGGCCACATCGGCCACACTGCAACACAAGGGGATCGAGCTCCCGGGCGCTCCTGTGTGTCACCAGGGACTATAGTACCTCAGGATTTCAAGGGGACCCAAGGACGGAGGCAGGCACCTGGGGTCCTGCCCAAGGGATACAGCACAGGCAGAAAGGGCAGCTCCTTGTTTAGTTAGAGAAGCTGGAATACAAGGTATGTGATGGCTCCAAAAACTTAAATGTCAGTATTTAAAGCTGAAGTAGAAAAAATGAAAACACTAGAGCTGGACCTATGTCCATCACTGCTGGTCTCACGAGCCCCAACTGCACAGCAGGTGTGCGGTGGAGAGGGTCTTCATGCAGTGACCTCACGGCCCAGCAAGTACGAAGTCCTTAGGATTTCTGCTGAAATAACACGGACAAAAGTCTCTGTCTTTAGCTGGTCAGGGCCATATATCTGCCAGCGGCCAAGAGCCGGGAAGAGAAAAAGCAGTGCCCACAGGGTAGCCAAGGGCAGTGCGCCTCCCCTAACAGAGGAGGGCACCCTTCCTGCCTGGCACAGAGGTCATGCGAGGCCAACCTGAAGGCAGGGCAAGGAGCACCAGGATACTGGCCCACAGATGCCCAACCTCTGAGGTCTAGTGCAAATCCAGTCCCTTGTCCGGCATGGGCCTTGGAGATGTGGCGGAGAATGGCTTTGAAAGGGCTTTCAGGGAGGACTGGCCTGGTGAGCCCAGGCCAGTCAGAGAGAAAAGGCCAGGTGTCGTCCATCCAGGGGCCAGTGAGAGCGCGTAAGCAGAGGACCCAGGGCCCTGCAGGACCACAGCACACCCTCAGGCCACGCCCACATAAAGTCCACGCCCATAAGCTCCCAGACCTCGCCCGCCTGTGGCAGGCCACACCCGGAGTGCTTAGGCGCAGGGTCAGGCAGCCAAGGTACGTCAGCACCACAGGCTGTGGCTGCCTCTGTCCTTTTCATCTGGAGGCCAGCTGTCCTCCAGAAATAGCTCCCAGGAGCGGGAGGGAACCGCTTTTCACGTCAGACCCGGCGTGAGCAGGAACCGGAGGGAAGAGAAGCAAGCTGACGAAAGGCTGGGGCCACGATGCCCTCAGCCGGTCCAGGAAGCCAGCTTCAAGGGGCGGTCTGCCTGGTGACCCCATTTCCCTAGTGGGACGTGCAGCCGGCTTGGGAAAAGAAGGGTGAGGCTGGCTGGCTGCTGCTCTCAGTAACGCACAAAGCAAACCCCAGAACCAGTGATTGAGAAAGCAAGCACTAGAAATGGAGCGGTCTCCGCCAGGCCAGCCGCACACGCACACTGCAGCGCCAGGTCTCCAGAACAAAGAGGATGAGAAAGCCCAGTAAATCATTTCAACCTGCCGGGGCTGGAAGATGGGAAACGCCCGGAGACAGGACGAGCGTTAGGCGGAAGCCCACAGAAGCTGGGCACGCGGCCAAGCCCCGGAGCGCTGCGCCGGCTTCCTCGGCGCTGCTGCCCACTGCCCGGCTGCGACGGGCGGAAGGCGCTCAGCGCGTGGTGCAGGTGGCTGTGAGTCAGCCGCCACGGCGGGCCGCCCGCTTCTAGGTGCTGCTTTCCCTCTATCCAGGCACGCTGTACCCCAAATACCACCAAGGCCCTCGCCTGCCTCATGGGGGTGGGAGAGGTCCTTGGAGGTGCCCGCACTGTCCACACCTGGCTCTGGGGCAGCAGCTGGGGACAAGAGGCTGGACTGTGCTCAGCAGGGAGCCCCAGGGTGTGTACTCTGCCAGGCCATGCTCCCTGTGGCAGTTCAGCCACCAGGCCCCTGCGGTGAATGGCCTGGCCGTGGGGTGCAGGTTCCACTGCTGCAGTAGAGGAAGGGTTGTGGGCCAGGACTTGCTCTCCAAAAACCGCTGTCTTTGCTCCTTTTGTGGAGGGGCAGCTTTGGGGGCTGGGCCAAGGGCCTTCACACAGCACGACGTCCCCAGCCTTTGTGTGACACCACATGTCGCCAGGTTACTGCACTGTCCAGGCTGGGCTCAAACCTGCGGTCCTCCTGCCACAGCCTCTGGAGGGTGCTGAGATGACGGGTGTGCACCACCCGCCACCTGCCTTTCACTTCCATTTTCCCGAGGGCTGAGCACCCACCACTGGCCGGGGCAGTGCGTAACCTGGGCGAGTCCCTTTGGGCGCTCTGTGGCACTGAGGACACGAGCCCAGCGTACAGGGTGTTTCCATGGCACCGGACGCACACTGCCCAGGAGCACTCAGTGCCTTGTGTGCTGTGGCCACAAGCTCCAGCACCAGTGTCCCAGGGCCCTGGAAACACCCGGTCTTCCTCCATGACACAGTCCCCAGGGCAGAGGGTGCTGGCTGCATGCAGGGGCTCCCACTTGATCGTGCTACTGGTGACTGCTCGCCATCTTAGGGGAGGCAGGAAAGGTGGCCTGACCTTCGCGGTCCAGAACACGCTCTGAGCTTCCAGGACCCTGGGGAGCCCACACCACAGCCCTGCTTTTAGACAGACCGAGCGGGCCTGCCCTCTTGCCTTCTTTCCTTCTCCTGTCGGCCCCAGGGAGCGCCTTTCTCCACTCCGCTCTCTTTAAGATTCAGCAGCTGCCTCTCAGCACCCAGGCCACCGCTGGTTCCTCCCACAATGCTCATTAGCAATGTGTGCCATGCAC